CCCACTCACCCACCCACTCACTCACCCACTCATCCATCCACACAACATTCCTCTGAGGCTCCACTGTGTGCACTGCTCCCGTGCTGGGGTAAGTCAGCATTCCTGAATGCACCCCCACCCTTGCACCCCCCAGCCTGTCTTTGCCACACTGCATGTTTGTGAGGCAGCAGTGGGGCTGGTACCAGACAGAGGACTGTCTAGGAGCTTCCACGCCACTCCCCAGACAACCAAGCCGCAAACTGTAGGGGAGGTACCACATCCCGCAAACACGCAATGTGGCAAAGACCAGTTAAGGGCGCCAGTGTGTGAGGGGTTGGGGAGCTGAGCTGGCCAGGGAGAAAGGAGAAGGGTCCCCAAGAGTTCACATTCAGCAGGGATGTGAAGAGTAAGGTGGCATTGACCTGGTGAGGGCAGGGACCAGCCACACTCACAGAGAAGCAGACTCAGTGGCAGCTGCCAGCAGCAAAGCTCACCTGGGTCAGGTGTCAGTTGTGCTGGGAGAGGAAGGGCCATTTTCCAGTGGGACCTGCAGTCCCGGCCTGGCAGTTTACCAAGTCCAGCTGGGGCTGCGTATCCACCCCCTGACATTTGGGGCACCCCCTCAGCTTCCCTGGGGCTGGAGGACCAGCCACATTTGGCCTTGCTGGGCCTCTGTGGTCTCCCTGAAGTGGTGACTCAGGGTGGCCCCCCGAGGTCCTCTCGCCCTGGCTGCCACTGAGGATGCTGCCCTGTACCCCATTCTTCACTGCAGTGAAAGTTCATCAAACACGATCAGGGCTGAGCCAGGCTGATGCAGAATGAAACATATGAGGGCTGGCTGAAAGGGTGTCTACGGTCAGTCTCTCTGCCCTGCTGCTGGGTGGTGAGGAGTGTCCAGTCAGCAGCCCAGCGTGAAGGTCAGAGCCAGCCCGGGAGTCAGCGCCCCACATGGCTATGTGGGTCCTCAGCGTAACCCTTCCTCAAGTAACCCTGCATTGGTCCTGCACTGGCAACTGAAAGACTCCTAACTTCCGGGAGACTCTGGGGTGATCACAGAGCCACAGACCCACACTGGTAGAGGCTTGGTGCCTGTGAGCAAGGTCTTAAGGGCGCAGGGCAGGGGAGTCTGATTGCAGGATGTTGTGGGGGGCTACAGGTGGGGAGGGGTGGGGGTAGTGGGCTGACACCTTGAGCCCGAGGGGGGAGAGCAGCCCCCAGAAGCGTGGGGGGGAGCAAAGACCAACCTGGCCAGAACTGACCCTGCGCTTTTAGAAGTTCCTCTTGCTGCTAGTTGTTACTCAAAGCTGAGCCCCTCAAGCGCTGACTTTGAAGACACTGGGTATTTTGCAAAGTTCTCCACCTGCTTCACCTCTGACACCTGCCCCCAGGTTTCACCTATGAACAGACACCCCTGGGTGAGCCTTGCTGACACCCGGTGGGAACAGTTCTGATGCGGCACCCGCAGTGAGGCTAACAGGATGGGTGAAGTGTCTCTTCCAGACACAAACTCCCAAGCTTTGGACAGAACCCTCTGGAACCCCTCTTCGGGTGCATGAGGAAGCGCCTTCTCTGGACAACATCCTCAGCCGTTGCTGTGTGTCCCCTGAAGTTTTGGGCTGCGGGGAGGTCTGCCCCGCACATGCAGGGTCACACCGACCTTACTCTCCATGTGTCCCCGGGGCTGGCTGAGTGCTGGCCCCATGCAGCTGAGAAATGAATGCACAGCCTGATGCTGCCTTGTCGCAGGGCTGCTTGGGCTTTGATTCAAAGCACTGACTATTTTAAGGGGGAAAAAGTGCACTCCCATGGAGAGGGAGACCCGGCCCAGGGGGAGGGATGGACGCGTTCTTCCTGCAGACTGTGTCCACGGTCCAATGCATCGGGGTGGAGGGTGGGGTTGCCAGTGAGACCAAGCACACTGAGGAACGGTCATTATCTTTATTCATACACACTGGCTTCCAAACGACAGTTAATGTGTCTAACAAAGCATGTCATGCAAACAGAGATTAGAGGTTATACAAGTGGGAAGCAGGCAACAATTTATACATCCGTCTCGCCCGCTACAAACCCAATGTTATTTGACAGTTGAATGGCCTCTATATTGTGTCTGGGTGCTTCTACAGAAGGAAAAAGCTTAACCTTCATCTCCTCCTCCTCCATGCACATCTGGGGTCTCAGGTGATGTTTTCCAATGAACAGTAAATGTGGTACGACACTCACACACGCACACGCACACACGCACACAGGCAGTAGCAAAAGCTGATTGCAAATGCTTCGGACCTTCAATGCCAGATATTCTGAAAGACCCTTGCGGGAAGGATATGAGATGAATTTTTAGACCATTTAGACGTCAAAGAATAACTGCCTTCAGGTATGACTTTGAGGAGCTCACTAATCCTCAGGAATCACATTCTTCCAGGATGAGTATCAACAAAAATCTACACACAGTCACACAAATAAATACTGAGGGGAAGCAGAGAAGACAAAGACACGCTGCTCCATCCGAAATGCAAAGCCACCGCTTGACTTAATTTAGAAAAAAGTTCTTATAAAGTGGCCTCGATGCCTATTTTCCGAAAAGGAGGGTCCGTCCACTCGCACCAGGGGTGACCCAGGTGGGTGCCGGAGGGCATGCCGGCCGCTGCTTCTTTTCTGGGGAGGTTGAAGTATTCTGGATAGCCCAGTGGTGCACTCCTGGGCACTGCTGAGTTTTCACCAAATGTGGGAGAACTCGGGACCCTCGGGGACTGGAGACAGCCGGGAAGGGACCCCTCTTTATGCCAAAAGGTAATCACAGCGATTCACAGAGCAAGGAAAGAGCCCCGGGGAGTGCTAGGATTGTATCTGGAAAGGGGCCGATCAAACAACTATCCTGTGGCTGAAACCGTCGTGACCTTAGCGGTCCCCGCTGTCCACTAGCCCAGGCGTCAG